AGAACATTGGTGACTGCTTCGGTGCCACTTCATGTTGAAAACTTTGTTCATTTTGCTTCCAATTTCCACTCCTCTATAACTTTCACACGTTGCATCTCTAACACTTCCCTTCCTTTCCTCGACCTCTCTGTCTCCATTTTTGGGGAATAAACTGCCCACTGCCATCCACTACAAAGCCACTGTCTCCCATAGCTACCTGCACTACAGTCATCAGACCCCACGTTCTGCAAGGACTCCATCCTGTTCTCCCAATTCCTTCACCTACATCGTTCAGATAATGCCACAGTCCAAAACAGCGCTGCTGACGTAGTTTCCTTCTTCCATAGTCACGGTTTCCCATTCCCTGTGGTTGGCAGGGCCCTCAACCGCATCCAACCTATCGCCTTTACCCCTTCCCATCACACTCAACTGCGTGTTGGGGTTCCTTGTCCTCACTTTTCATCCCCTCAGCCTCCACATTCAAAGGATCATTCTCCACAATTTCAGACAACTCCAGCAGAATGCCACCACCAAACACATCTTCCCTTCATTCCCCATGTCTACATTTTGCAGGGACCATTCCCTCTGGGACACCTGAGTCCATTCCTCGACCACCAACACCACCTTCATCTCCCACGGGACCTTCCCATATAACCACAGAAGGTGCAACGCCTCCTCCCTGCCCACCATCCAAGGGCCTAAACAGTCTTTCCAGGTGAAGCAGCATTTTACCTGCACCTCCTCGAATTTGGTCTATTGTATTTGCTGCATCCAATGCATGGGAGAGACCAAATGCAGACTGGGAGACCGCTTTGCAGAACACCTCCGGTCTGTGTGCAAGCAAGACCCGGACCTTCCCATAGTATGTCATTTTAACACAGTGTCCTGCTCACACGCCCACTTGTCTTTCCTAAACATGCTGCAATGCTCCAGCCAATCACAGCACAAACTGGAAGAACAACATCTCATCTTCAGACCAGGCACTTTATAACTTTCTGGACTTAATATTGAATTCAACACCTTCAGGTTGTGAACCCACTCTAATTCCTTCTCCTTTTAGCTTTAGTTATTGCATTCTCAGTCAGCACATCCTCTATCTCCTCACCTCATTCCAGATCTTGGATATCACCTCCCAAAACGCTTTTAATAAAAATGACTAATTTTGTCTTGTAACAAGACAAATTTTAGAGACAGTCAATTTAACTTTTTTTTTGTCAATTTGGCTATCAATTGGCAGAAAATTGAGCTCACATTGTCCCTACCTCCAGAAAGAATGATGATGGGATCCAAGCCTTGGGAGAAATGAGTTTTATAAATGCATCTCGTTAATTGAAGATGAGGCTTTCTTGTTAATAAGAAACATAAAGGCCTAGAAATTGGTCTGGACCAGTTTTTGGATTCAGGGATTGAAATTGGCCTTCTTTCTCTCATGTAGCCAAATATGTAGCCAATATGTAGCCAAACATGGATGGTAGCTGGATAGCTCGGAGTTCAATGGAGTCGGGGGTAGTTAGGTACTAGCAGTTTGTGAGCCCATTCAGTCTCCAGCTCCTGTAGAGAGTCTACCCCTCTTAAAGGAGATCTGCACTAATTGAAAGGAGTACAAGTTGTCTACAATTTGAAATGGAGCAGCAATGCAGAGAGAACATTCTTATTTATGAATTAGGCACTAGAGGTTATATTCATGGAATTCAACAGGAGGAGGCTGTGGAGGACTAGGAGGCCTCACGTACTGCCACCTGAAGGGAATACTTACAGGTGTCCAGGGCAGTTAACACAGAGTTTCAACCCAACAACCTGGCAGCATTGTCACGAGAGCGGTCATGGTAGTGAGTGCATCTTGACATGATCTACTCCACTCACCAACAGTATCTCTCACTGCTCAATGCAGCACTGACCCTCATCACTTGCACAGCAACAGCCCCAGCCCCTAATGCTCAAGTATTACAATATTCTGCCTCCTTTCTGCCTCCTTTTCACACACCTTTCAATAGTATTAGCCTCACAGTTACCTCTCACTGCTTTCACATGCCTCAATGTGCAACTGTCCCAAGAACATTACCCAAATACAATACATCAAACTGACGGATATCCTACCCTCTCTTTTGCAGGACAAATAGATGAGCATAAGCTGTGGGGATAAGGACAGTTGATTTGCCCTATACTTTCCAGACGAGATTTCCTAGATCTTGTTGTGACAGAGTTAATTCATTTGTAGTCCCCAAGAGCATTGAGGATGTCAGTATGTTCCTGCCTTGAGCACATTCTCACCCTCTTCGTGCAATCTGCTCTGAAGTGGAAGTGGCAGATATGAACAGGAGCAGGTCAATCAGCTTCTTATGCATTCTATTCCATTTAACTAGATCATGGCTGATCTACCATATTACTGCCACTTTCCTGTGCTATCCCCATAACCCTTGATAGCTTTAATATTTAGAAATATATTGACTTCTATCTTGAACATACACAATGTGGTAGAGAATTCCAAAGATTCACCACTAGCTACAAAAGAAATTCCTAATCTCAGTCTTAAATCAACTATCTCTTATTCTGAGACTGTTTCCTTATTCTAGATTACAACACCCCCAGTATGACCCATACCTCCAGCCAGGAGAAACAACCTGCATCGGCCCTATCAAGTCCTGTGAAGATTTTGCATACTTTAAGGAGATCACCACCCATCTACCCAAATAAAAGCCCAGTCTCCTCAGACTCTCAGGACAATCCCATAATCCCACAATCCCACAGTTCAGTTTGGTGAATGTTCGCACTCTCGCAATGACACTCTCACGGGGAGGCAATGGCCCAGTGGTATTATCGCTGGACTGTTAATGTAGAGACCCAGATAATGTTCTGGGGACCAGGGTTCAAATCCTGCCATGGCAGATGGTGGAATTTGAATTCAATAAATATCTGGAATTACGAATCTAATGATGACCATGAATCCATTGCCGGTTTTTGGAAAAACACATCTGGTTCGCTAATGTCCTTTAGGGAAGGACAACTGCCATCCTTACCTGGTCTGGCCTACATGTGGCTCCAGACCCACAGCAATGTGGTTGACTCTGAACTGCCCTCTGGGCAATTAGGGATGGGTAATAAATGCTGCCTAGCCAGTGACACCCTCATCCCGTGAATGAATAAAGGGAAAAAAAAATATATCCTTCCTTTAGTAAGGAGACCAAAACTGTACTCGATACTCAGGACATAGTCTCCCCAAAGCTCTGTACAATTACTGCAAGACTTCTTTATTACTTTTCTTAAATTCTCGTTGCAATTAGAGCAACATACCATCTCCCTTCTTAATTTCTTGCAGCACCTGCATATTAGCTTTCATGATTTACAAACAAGGATTCTTACCATGCTTTCATTATTTAAGAAATACACTGCATTTTTGATTCTCCCACCAAAATGGATAACTTCTCATTTTTATCACATTTTATTTCATCTGTCATTTTCTAGCCTACACATCTAACCTATCAAAATCCCTTGAAGCTTGTATACATCCTCCTCAAAATCACATTCCTACCTAGTTTAGTCTTGGAATTACTTTGAGTAGCTCTTTCAAAAGTCTGAAAATCCAAATACATCAAGTCCACTGTTTTCCCCCTAATTTATTCTGCTAGTTATATCCTCAAAAAACTTTAATAGGTTTGTCAAGCAAGACTTTTCTTTCATAAATCTATGCTGACACTATGTAGTCCTACCATCATTTTCTAAGTGTCCAGTTGTTATATTCTCTTTAATTGAATCTAACCTATTTTCCACTGATCTCAGGCTAATAAGTCTGTTATGTATTTTCTCTCTTCCCCTTTTCTTAAATAGTGTTGTTACAGTTATTTTCTTCCAATTTATTGGAATGGTTCCAGAATCAATGAAGGTTATATGAAAACCAGCAACACATCCGTCATCTATAAAACCAAATTTTCAACACTGAGATGTAGATCATCAGGTCCAGGGTATTTATCATCTTTCAGTCCCATTAAGTATGTTTTAAATATTTAATGTATTAAGCTTTTAAAGTGTTAAATTTATTTTTTTGTTAGAATAACATTTCAAATATAATTTAGTTGAAAAGTGCAGATAGTACAGTAATAGAGCTATCACTAACTTTAAAGTACAGTTAATATTGGTGACGCTGATTGAAACACTCATTGAATGTTATGGTCAAGGAACGATGGTTCAATTTCAGATGAAAGACTTAAACATGCTTTGAATCTTGAAACATTTACTTCAACATTTTCCACAAATTACTACTCATTCAGTAAATGCTATTCTTTTCTCTATTCTTCATGTTCTCTGAGGCATGGGTAGATAATACTTCAGAGTAGTTCTGAAGGATATGCACCAGGTCCAAATTAGTAGCAGTCTGACTCAGTTGCATTAATACAAGCCTTTGAAGAATGCTTTGGTGACTGACTTGATATAGTTTGTTGGCTAGTACCATTCCGAGTGAGAGAATCCTTGTACTAGCAATGCAAGGGTGCCCTGGTGGGTAATACTTTGTGACCTTCACAGCACACTGCTGTTTAAACCTAGGCTAGGGCACAAATGCATCAAGTGCATCAATTCACTCCCACAGCTCCTTCCACTTGCAAATACAAACAATAGCTACAGTTGGGTTTTAACTCTTTATGTAGTGTGTTCCTGGAAGGGCAAAAGACAATACATGTCGGCAAGAGGTGGTTTTCTTTTGATATGGGGAAGGTATTCAGCCTCCTCATTTCCAGTTCTGAAGAAGAATCAAACAGGGCTTTGTTAACTCTCTCTGTCCTCACAGATGCTGCCAGACCTGTTGAGTTTCTCTCGCTCTCTCTTGCTCTCTCTGTATCTCGACTTTCCCTGACATCCTATAGATGTGGCATTCCATGATTGACAGGATTTTGCTAGACAGCACTGAATTTCCATCTGTGTTTTTCTTTTGGTTTGTAGCTTTCTTCTTTTAAAAAAACATATTTTTGAATTAAAAGTTAAAAGTGCCTATAGCATTTTGGGACTCTAATCTATTGTCATCTCAACAGGAAATGGCCATCTCAAGCAAGGCAGAATCTAACCATCTCCCTCTGACTCTCTCTGAATTCCCCCATTATCAGCATTCTGGGCATGGCCAATGGCCAGAAACTGAACTGGACAATCAAAAACCAAGAATCCTGAAATTAGCTGCTCAACTATCCATATCCCATAACCTACTCTTTATGAACCATGCAGAGAAATGGACCTGTAAATCTTTTAACTTGTTTTTGGAATCACTTCTTAATTTTGATCTGTACGTTATATATGTTGCAGTATTTATTTTTGAATTCTGTAACTAAAATCTGATTGTTTTGTTAACTCAACAAAGCCTGGTTAAATTGGTTCCTTTTAAAACATAAACACATTTGGTCTGGGACGAAGGGCCAATGAGGGAGAAATCATGTTTACATTAACCTTATTGTGACCAGCTGAGTGTATAGGTGAATAAAGAGGGGGGAAAAAAATGCAAGGAAGCAAGTTCATCGCTCTTTACCCAGGAGTTTAACAATCTGTGGTATCCTGTTTGGAACTGTAATTACTTAGAGAATCTTACTTGCCATCTTGTTACAACCAGAGCCCATGAATTTAAGTTGCAAATTATCAGCCCAAGTCTGAATACAATTGAGGTCTTCCTGCATACGGACACATGCTGCTTCCCCATCTGAGAAGTTGCGAATGGTGCTGAACATTGACTGCACAATGAACATCCCCATTTCTGACATTATGATGTAGGGTATCTTTCATCCTGATGCTGATAGTCTTAACAATAACATGTGGCATCATTCACAATGTCGCTCGATGTTGTCAACCTGGGTGAATGTGATTATTTTCAGATGCATAAAGGAAAGTCTTGAAGTCATGCAGTGCTTTTTGATGTCTACTGGAGTTCTCAAAGTGCTTTACAACTGATTAAGTACCTTTTATCTGTAGCCACATTTCTCATTTAGCAAAATGCCAGCCAATTAGATCCCATGGCTCTCACCAATAACATGATTATTCTCGATCACCAATTTTTATGCTGGGGATTGAAGGATAAATATTGGCCAGTAAACTTGGGGTAAAATGACTCCCGCTCTTCTTGGGATATCTCATAGCATTATTTCAAAATGCACCCAAGCAGCCTCAAGTTTAAAATTCCATCCAAAAAACAGCATTTTTGACTTTACAGCAATCTCTTGGAACTAGCTGTTTGATAACTTCACTGAAGTTCTGGAGTGGAATTTTTCACTGAGATGAAAACTGCGCCATGACTTCCAGTAATATATAGTCACCCTGCTCAGTCATGCTGGCAGCCGCGTTATCTTGAACTTGCAGCCCTCTTGAACTGCAATGGGTTTCTAGTGCTTGTGCTCCATCTGGTTGAGGGCCCTAATGCTGAATACTCCTTTTCTCGGCCTCAATCCTCTTCTGTTACATGCCGTTTTCTCCTGCAGAAGGACGGAATGAGAAGTAGTGCGTGGTGTTTGACATGTCCGTGAATGAGACAGAGGTAGGAAGGTGCACACAGAACTGGGAACAGTTCAGTAGAAAGCATGCTGCTGGAATTTGAAGTGAGAAGAGTCAGAACCGAATACTGGCGATGAATCATAAGGGAACACAACACAAATATTATTCTGATTCCAAACACATTCACACACACTGCTTGCCTGCTTGGAGTTGGTGTTGAAGACTGTTATGTAAGGGAGGAAGAGAAAGTCTGTTGGCATTTTTGTACAGGACAATATTGATGTGAAGAAGTCTATTCACCCTTTCTGTTCCTGAGAGTCATTGAAGTGTTTTCTGCACTAAATCCAGGTTTGATGACACCAAAACTTACAGGCTTAGCAAGCAGCCACTAGTTCTTGTGTATACATATAGGTTTTTTTTTGTAATTTTCTTCCATGTCAGAAGAAAGAGAGCATGTTTCCTTGCCCTGACAGCCTCAACTGGAACTAACCAGGAAGTTGACAGAGTTTAGAAGAAGTTTGGAAGTTAATTTTGGGGGAAAATAAAAATCAGCTCTTCATTGTGCAGCAGTCTGGATGAAAGAAAAGCAATCTCCCTCTAAAATCTGAAAAATAGTCTTTGGATGATCTCATCTGACTTCACACTCTGAAGGTAGTTTAATGATCTATTATAGATATGATTAGTGTTGAGGACCAGGAGTGGCTTTTGTGCTTGTCCTGACCCATCCTCAGTTCTCCACCCATCCCAAAGTCGTCCCCAGTTAAAATATCCCCTACATGGCCGAGGAAAGCCCATCAGCTCATTTGAGCTAATCCATCAAGTAGGATCCACTGGCGCCTCACAACACCTTACTCTTGTTTTTTTTTCACAAAACTTATCCAGGACTCCCTCTTATCAGCACAAGCACCATTGCCAATTCCATCAGCATACATTCATTTGTTAGGCACATACATCAGATTTATGATCAATGCATAGCCAAAGACCTTCTGTATGGTGAGCTGACCTCCAGGTTCCATATATTGACTGCAAGTGAGATATGAAAGTGATGAACATTGACAATGCTGACTGGAAGGATATTGGAAGAGGTGAGAAGAAATAATTATAGTCTTCCAGGGTGGAAGGCTGGTCACCATTGCCAACTAAATTTACTTTACTGCACACGAATAAATGTTATAATTTACTTTTATGGCGTCCCAACATCCACCCCCTCAGCCCCACCACCAACCCCCCAACCCCCTTAATTGCAGTTACAGAGAAAGCACTAAAGTCATAAAAACTTGTCACAATTCCTTCAAATCCAAATGCCGCAAGCTCAAATATTAACACTGCCTGTTTGGAAATAAAGCAGAATCCCATAAGGAATTGGAACACAAAATGCACAGGGGCTCCTATAGCAAAATCTGAACAGATATTGATAACATTTTAATATTTTTAAGTATTATTCTTCCTTCTAAAAGTGATTGATTGGCTCACAGATTAAGAGGGCCATAGTTTAAAAACGTTTTTGCCTTCTGTTTTCAATTCTTTTAATTATATTTTCACAATTCATTTAAAAACACGTTTTAGTATGCAAATTTCACTGAGTCTGTTTGCAATGTGCTAACACTGTATTCCAAGCATGTGCATTACTTGCTTGGACAAGATGGTATGATGAATAACAAGACCAAGCAGACTGGTTTGTTTGTTTGTTTAGAGATAACAAGGTGTAGAGCTGGATGAACGCAGCAGGCCAAGCAGCATCATAGGAGCAGGAAGGCTGACGTTTCGGGCCTAGACACGTCCGTAGCTAAAGAGAGCTTTAAAGTAGATGAACAGGCAGACCTGTGAAATGTACCTTCTGCTGTCTGAAACCAACGCCCATTACTTTCTTAAGTAATAAGTTTCCCACCCTGACCCCCTCACTTTAGCTAATAATGGATGTCGGTATATTCCCTTTGGTACTATCACATCCTTACCTTTTCCAAAAACTTTCTGTAGGAACGTGGGATCATTCAATGCAATCATTGGCTGATCGCACTCTTCAGTGTCTTTTATCCAATATCATCATCACCATACAACACCAGCAACCAAAAATCTATCAATCTCTGCCTTAAACATACTCGATAATTATGGGGTAGAAATAGCCTGCCAGTGTTACAGCTGGAGTGCAAATCCAGAGACCCAGATAATGTTCTGGAGACCCGGCTTCATATCCTGCGATGGCAGATGGTGGAATTGGAATTCAATTTTAAAAAATCTGGAATTAAGAATGTATGACCATGAAACTATTGTTGATTGTTGGAAAAACCCCTCTGGTTCACTAGGAGTATCCATTAGGGAAGGAAACTGCCATCCTTACCTGGCCTGGCCTACGTGTGAATCCAGACCCACAGCAATGTGATTGACTCTTAACTGCCCTCTGGGCAATTGGGGATGCACAATAAATGCTGGGCTAGCCTATGATGCCCTCATCCCATGAATGAATAAAAATAAGGCCCTCATGGCCTTCTGTGGTAGAAAATTCCAAAATCCACAACGCTGAGTTTAAAAAAAACTCAGTCTTTGACTTAAATGGTATCCCTCTCTATTTTCAAACTGTACCCCCTAGATGCTAGATTCTCAGCAAAGGGAAAACATCTTGCCTGTATGTATCCTGTCTAACCCTTTAAGTTTTTTTCTAAGTTTCAATGAGATCACCTCACATTTTATAAACTCTAGAGAATACTGTCCAGTTTGCCTAATCTCTCTTTATAGGACATTCCCACTACCCTGGTGGTGAACATTTGTTGCACATTGTCTGTGGCAATAATAGATTTCCTGAGATAAAGAGACCAAGATAGTACACACAACTTCAGGTGTAGTCTAACTCAACTCCTTTGCAAATAAAGACTATACCACTGGAGTGCTAAAATCTTCTTGTAAAATAGACGTTGACATTCACTTAGCCTTGTGAATAGCTTGCTGCACTTTCGTATCAGCCTTTGTTGACGTATCAACAAGGTTATCTAAGTATAGAAATACACTTTCCAACTTCTTAACATTAAAGAAATTTTCTGCACATCTGTTTCTCCTATGGCAGTTTAAGTATGTAATAACAGAGAGAAGATGGTGAGACTTGCATATACAATTTTGTTGAGTGTACTTCCAGACTGTGGATATCAGAATTATCCAGATGAAGGAGTAAAACAGGCTATTGTGAGTGCCTATGAACTGATACCAGAAGCATATAGACAACGGTTCAGTAACATAAGAAAGGAACCAGGTCAAACTTATGGTGAGTTTGAAAGAATTAAACATAGCAACTCCGATAGATGGGTGAGAGCATTAAAGGTAGTAGAGACATATGAGGATCTTGGAGATTATTCTGCCGGAGGAGTTTAAAAACTCACTTCCAGAAGTGATAAGAACTCATGCTTAGGAACAGAAAGTTATCTCTGCAGCTTGTTTCAGAGATAGTAGGAACTGCCAATGCTGGAGAATCTGAGATAACAAGGTGCAGAGCTGGATGAACGCAGCAGGCCAAGCAGCATCATAGGAGCAGGAA